AAGTTCCGGAAATTTGACTATGGCGTTGTCGGTAACATAAAGAAGTATGGCAAAAAAAATCCTCCTGATTATAATCTTGGCAATGTCAAGTTACCAGTGTATTTGTATTATGGCACCAATGATATGTTTGTCGACGTTCAGGTTTGTATGATGTTTTTTGCGAATCTTCAATTTCTTCATTTTAATTTTTTTCCAGGACTTGCATCAGTTGTACAAAGCATTGCCCATTGTTCAAAAGTTTTTGATATCCGACAATTTCGCGCATCTTGATTTTGTGTGGGGAAAGCACGTAGATACTTGGCTATATAATAAAATTCTGGATCTAATGAAACATTACAAAAAATAAATATTACTTCGTGCAAGTAATCTACGTTAATGTACGTTTTTATATTCTATTGTATCAATAAAAATATGAATTTTCACAAGTTTTATTTTATGGCACTTTTATTAGGAAATCTTATCCAATTCTAGTGATTATGATCAATGACTGTGCCAAGTTACAAAAATCAAAAAAATATTTAATAAATCAATTAAATATTTGTTTTAAATATTTCTTTATGTGATAAAAATATGCTAGCTAGAATTTGTTAATTTGTAAGTTTTTGAGTCGTTTTTTTCAATTCTGGAGTATTTCAAAAATATTTTGCACATTTGTGACGAATGTAGTATAACAGAAAAAAAAACACAGACTTTTTAACATATATAAATAGAAACATATTGCCTTATATCTTATAAAAAGGTATTCATTTAATGTTTCACCTAGCGGTATGTATAAGAATTATATTCTTTTGTAAATTTACATATAGAGGGCATATAAAATTAGTCTGAAACTGTCATTAAAAACATACAACTTTAATAATTAATAATTTTAAATTTCCAAATTATTAAATTAAATGATTAATATTAGAAAAAAAGAATCATTTTTCCTTATTTTCTTAACAATTCACATTTTCTTAACAATTTATTATATGTAATTTATTATATGTAATATGTAATTTCGTACAATGTGCAAAAATTTTATGTAATTTTTAAAATAATTATTATTGAATTGTATTATAATTTATGTAATTATTCTTGAATTGCCATTGTGAGAAGAATGTTAGCCATATCCCAAATATTATTAACTTTTATATCTACCAATTGTGATAATTTTATAGCAATAACGTCTATCATTTCACTCTTTATGTATAAGAAAAATGTCCCACAAAGAATTACAGAAGCTCCTAAAAATAATACATTTGATTCTAATGCCATAAGATTCCTCTTCTCTTCTATAGTTCTTGCAATATATCCTTGGATTAAACATTGTAAATGGGAGTATAATTTCTTTCTCTATAAATGCGTTTCCTTTATTAATGACACTAATGTTATTCATGACGTAATATTAATGTTCTAGAAATGTTTATTAATGAAATTCACACCTGCAGATAAACTAAATCCAATATATCTACGGTAAGTTCTTGCATCCCTGGAGTGTCCTTCAGGCCTGTTGCAGCCAGAAGAATTTCTATGCAATTTAACGGAGTACAAAGTGGCATTCTGAATCCAACAGTTTTAAATACTTTAAATTCTGATGAAACAATTATCTTGTGTGTATATTCAGATTTTTTATCTATGCGTCGTAAAATACCAAGTACCTATATTATACAAAATATTAAGATACTACTCTAGATAAATTCAAAATAGAAGTGTGCATATGTACTTGCGCTATTTTCAAATTGTTTAAATGTGAATTCATTTTGTTTGCCAATTGCAAGCAGGACATGAGATATAATACTGATCGACTTGATATGCTTTTACAAATTTGCAACCAAGAGCTTTGTGTACCATCAGTGTTTTTATACATTTCCCAGAAATGGTTACACATAAATTTATCATATAAGTGAATAGCAATATATCTAATATCTGGTTCTAAATGAAGATATTCTGTTATTTTATATATTGCATTGACAATAGGAATTGGTACAGCTGAAAATAATATTTAACGAATGAGAAGTTTATTGTTAATTAAAGTCAAGCAAAGTAGACACAAAGCAGATGAGAATGAAAATAAAGAGATACAAGTTTTGAGATACAACAAATTACCTATATATGGCATATAAAATTCATCTGTAGCGTTGATTAAATTTTCTTGTGCTTTAATGATTAATTGAAGTCCTTCTAACCAATCATCAAGTAAAGGCTCTGTTTTAAATAGACATTTGTTTCAAGAAGAAGATTTAGGTTCATTATTTTCTATGTCAAGCATCTACATTTGTTTGTCAACATTTTCATTGATATTAACTTATACTAATTACCAATATAAGAAATGTCCAAGTCCATTTGCTCTTAGAAAGATTCTTGTCTAAACACTATTGTTATTAAATGTTGTTCAATTAAATTTTATACACAACAATGTTATCTTTGAAAGAGTATATAAAATACTGTTTAAAAGAAGCTAATTGGGTAAATCGTGAATCACGTGATACGTTTCGCGATATATCGAAATCATGTTATTAAAATTAAAATTAAAATTAGACTTTATTGGTATATTGTTAAAGGCGGAAATATAAATCAGACGTTTTAAGTATATAACGAAAATTTATTCAGTATGTATGTACATTCTGATTGATACTTTATTCTATGTTCATGCCTTCATTCTGATGTTGTAACTCTGTTAATAATAAAGGTTCGTACGTCCATTTTGGAAACACTCGTTTATATAAGTTCATTAAAATTGTATCCTGTGACTTTAGTTGATCATTAAATATACATTTCATATGTCCGTGCGTACCTGGAAATAATATATAATTTTTACTATTTTTTTTATCTAATTTTTTAAATTACATCTTAATTAAATTAAGAATTATTTACCTAATGGTTCCTTTATATGTCCTCTACGACCATATTTCGTTCGTAATTCAATTGGTTTAAACCAGTTTATATCTTCTCGATGGAAGAACATAAATCTTACAACCGCTGATCGTTTATTTACTTTGTACGGATGGCCGCTAAGAACAACTCGTTTTACAATTATTCTATCTGGATTTGCAGACAATACACTGCCAGTTGCAATTAATTCCTATAAAAATATAAACCATAACTTTGATAAAAAGCATAAGTATAAATAATAAAAACATAGAGGCAATCTTTCGTATATTATTATCTTCTTACCAACGATTTATTCAATTTTTGTATGTAACATAATACTGGACACGGTGAAAAAGTAATTGGAGCAAACATGCTCGCTACAACAGTACTGTTTGGTCGAAAATATCGCTCATACTGAAATATATTTCTATACTTAGCAAAAACATATAAATAAGATATATTGAAATCTTATAAAGTATAACATACTTTATGTTTGTTCCCATTTGTGTGTTGACTGAATATTGGGCAGACGGTGAATCTTCTAAACCCACATTGAAATATCAGTTTTTCTTTAGATTTTACTGGCTGTGGGATAATGTTGGTATGTTTTAATACCAAATTTAAGAGAGACATTTTATGTTCGTTCGGCAATAAACCAAATACAATTAATGGATGATTCTCCAATGCAGAAAATGTGATAAAAAGATCCTGTCGTACATTCATAACGTGAATTGTGATATACCAACCAGGCTAAAAGAATAAGTACTTGTATAATTTAACATGAATAAATAATTAATTTTCAATTAATCAACCATTTATAAACATACCATAGCACCTTCTATTTCCTGAGATTCTTTAAATATACGCTTTCGCGTTCGATCAAAATTTTCAAATTGAAATATTCTAGCGTAATCAGTAGGAAGATTTTCTTTTGGATCCCACGAACTTGTTCTGAATGACTCTAGTCCACGATACTTCTGAAACCTCTGTTTTGCCAACATATCTTGAGGTGTATCCACTTCATCAGGAAATTGTGCGTCTACTTTTGCGTCTGTATTTGAAATTTGTACGTTTATACATAATTAAAGTTCCATCATTAGTTAAATTATATATATATATATATATATATATATATAAACATATATTTTATAAACATACGCTTTAACTTTTCCATTGTTTCTTTCTCCTCTGTCATATCGATATTTTGATCGTATCGTTCATCAGGAACTTCAGACACAGTGATTGTCTCATATTCTTCCTCATCTTCTTCTGCCTCTACTTCGCTATCTATTTGAGATTTTGCTTCATCGACAGACATTTTGTCTTCTGACTCATCGTCCGAGCATTCGCTTAATTCTTCTACGAAATTACATATTTATATTATCTATACAATTGCATATTATTTTAAACATACATATATAGTAATAAATACTACATGTATTTCCATTATGCATTTAACTTATAGATTTAAGAAAAATACCTGCATCCTCATCAGGAATCCAGGCTGCTTGGTATTCAGAAGTTCCTTTTGGAACTCTCTTTACAATTTTTCGTCTTTCGGTCTTGGCTTGAGCTAACTCTTCTTCCGTAGGCCAAGTTTGCTCAGTATCCATAGGATCAGGTATATTTTCACTTTCGAGAGATTCCTAAAAAAGTAAACAATTTGTAATCTTTTTTAAAGTTTCAAGTATTATTTTATTTCGATGAAAAATTACTTGTTTCTTTGGATTTGCGCGTTCGAGAACTCGAACGGACGGTTCATCCATCGTGTTATGTTTTCTTAATTTTTTCTCCATTGGATATGGATCTTCAGGAGCATCAATTTGAGACATTTGGAAATCTCCAAATCCAGGTATGTGTATCAAACCATTAACTGATAATGGAACATTTCTAAGATATCCCGAGATCATAAGAGTTCCAACATCTGTGGAATTCTAAATAAAATGAAATTTAATTGTAAGCTCGTGTTTTTATTATTACAATGTTCATTGGGCCTATACCTGGTTCATATATTACATAATTATTCATTGGACTTATACCTACTTCATTACATTTAAATTTTATTTCTTCTGCTAACAAATGAGCTCTTTTGTTCCTATAAGATACAGATCTTTGTTTCTGAGTACCAACACGTCGTAAAACATTAAAAGCATCAGTAGGAGTATCTAATTGAGAAATTTTCTCTTCTGGAAGCCATTTAGAAATTTCAGATTGTACGTGATTTTTAAAATCTTGACGTTTCTGCAGTAAAATTCATGAAATTAAAATTATATTCGTTCGAAATATAACAACAGATAAATCAGAAACACAATACCTTTATTGGAAGACTTTCAATATTTGTAAGTGCTACTACAGGAGTAGTTAAACCTTGAGCAACACAAGGCATAATAATTTCTTTTCCCCAATCATCAAATACTTCAACTCTAGGACTGCTATCAGACTGATTTGTTGCAGATGCAACAAAAAGAATGGTTGTAGCAATTTTTGCTATATCCAATGTAGCAAATAAATTACCAACTGGTGGAATAACAATTGAAAACCGTTGTTTGAATCTAGGTATACTGTTCCAAAAGACCAATGATCAATATTTTGTAATTTTTATTAGCATCGTTTATCACCATAGTGTCGTACCTCAAATGTATCGTACCACATGGGCTGTTAACTATATGTGCAGAATCATCTGCTTTTGTTATTATTGATAAGATACTATCAATATTTAAATCTTCCTGCAATGGAATAATACACACAAGAATGGGTGCAGACTCAGATCCTCCCAAATTTCTTTTTTGCTGTAATACTTCCTCTCTCTTCTTCTTTCTAATTTGGGAAGATTGAAGCCTTCGGGCATTCTTCCCAAGATTTTTAGCAATACGTTTTGATAAAACCTTTACTCCAACTTTCCCTACATTATGCAGGTATTGGAAAATACAGAAATCAATAGAATATTAAACTATTAATTAAGTAATATAAATTCCAACAAATCGTACCTTTAGCATCGTTACTTATTGAACCTTTACTACGATGTCTACCTGTTTTATGCGGTTTGTTAATTTGTTTAAATGTACCAGGTCGATGTATTTCTTGTTTTGTTATTCCCATTTTGTTTGAAAGTATATCTCTTCTCTAATTAAACATCCTTACAAGTCAAACATCGCATACAAAACACGTGTATTCTTGTATATTTTATTCACGAAATTATAGGGACATTTAACGTCTATAAAATTTTTCTAGTAACACACTAATTACTTTAGGATGTACTTATCATATTTAGTAAAATCATCTTTCATTATTCTAGAATTGTAAAAAAGAAAATATAAAAACAGTCATATATTTTTTAAACGTCTACAATTTTGAACAAAAAATCTATTCTCAAAAATGTATTTTATTATTTATAATATTTTTATCAACATTTTTCAAGTTGGTAGTACTTATTAGTTAAATAAATACAAAAGATAGGTTATAACTCACGTGTTCATTTTGAAAAAAATTTTTGAGCAGTATCCATAATTTTTCACTTTTTTGATTTTAATTCTTTTTACATAAATATAATAATGTAACGTATAAAAAATGCAAAATTTAATGATTTGTATACATTTAGCATTTTAAAGTATATAAATGAATGTAAACTTTTACGTTTCGTTTAATAAAAATATTGGAACTCTTTAAATAATAATTGCAATTTTAATAACAAATATATTAAAATGGGACGAAAAGCAAAGTTTGATGAAACAACTGTTTCAAGTGGTCGTGGGAGAAAAGCAAAGAAGCAAGGAGATCCAACATTTCCAAAGGGAGTATTAGGTATGCAGAATTATAAAGTTGCTTATGTGTATTTTAAAAATATACTTGCTTGCATATATAAAGTATAAATATAATTGCTTGCATATATAAAGTATAACTATATCTACCTCTAGTAAAAGAAGAAAAAGAGTTAAGTCATAGACAGAGGCAACGAGCAAGAAAAAGATTGTTAAAAAAGCAAAAATTAAATAAGTTAGAGAAAACAAAAGGCAAAAAGGTAGAAGATACTTTAACTGAAGATGTAAGTTTTCTTCTTTTCTTTTTTATAATTACGTCATATATAGATTATCAAACTTTATCAATATATTTGAAAGGTCACAAAAAATGTTATATGTACCATGGGACAATGGATTTTCATTTTTAAGATATAAAAGGAAGTGTAATATAAGCCATAAGTAATCAGATATACTGAAACTATTGAACTTTTAATTATCGATAATGTGTCTTAGTAAAAAAGGTACTTAGTACTACTTGTTATGAGTTAATATAACAAATTAACAACTTTGCTAATATGCAATGAATGAGATCCATGAAAGCATGCTTACTTGCATGTATGAATAAGACAAAAGGTGACCATTTTGAACAATTTGTGCAAACCAGTCTAAATGAGTATCAATCACTATAAAAAATAATTTGAACCAAATGATAATTATTAAGTGTTAAGTAGCTTTAGTATATCTGATTACTTTTGCTTTGTATTAATGACTTTTCTTTCATACCTCAAAAATTAAGACGTATCAGCCTATGATGCATTTTTTGCTTAAAATAATATATTGGCAGATATATTAACAAAGTTTGATGTTTAAGATGTGGAACACCTTGTATATATATACATAAAACAATATTTATAAAATACTCATTTTCATTAGAATGTCAAAAATGTAACAAAACAATTAAAAACAAATAAGAAAAGGAAATTTCTTAAAAAACAGCTTGAAAATAATAATTTAAGTCATGAAGATGATCAAATGCAGTTTGACAGTGATAGTAATAAGTCTGATAATAGAGAAGTAATGCGAAATGAACAAAAAATTACAAAAAAGAAATTACTAAACAGTGACACAGAAGATGAAATTGATAATTACGACGACATTGAGGAATATGAACAAAATGAAGAAATGGATAATGAGGAAATGGATCAAAATGAAGATGCAGATAGTTCTGATGATGATGTTGATAATGATGTTGATCTATTTCCTATTGAGAAAGCAAATAAAAAGTTGAAAAAGAAGCAAGAAGAAGAACAGTGAGCATCATTTGTTATTACATTAAGCTTAATGTCTAAAATCTAATTTTAATTTTTTCTTTATTAGAAAACTAGCGGAGGAAGAAATGCATGACATGACTTTGCAACAATCTGTCTTTACTTTCCCCACTGAAGAAGAACTTGCAGAAGTTACTAATTTGAAAGATGTACAACAACGTATAAAAGACGTTATCATGGTATTATCCGATTTTAAAAGATTACGCGATGTAAATAGGTATGTCTCTTAGAATTAAAAGTTTCATGGAAGAATTTCAGGAAATTTTACCTTTTTATGTTTCTTAAAGATCGCGTTATGAATATATGAACCTTCTTAGAGGTGACTTATGTACATATTATAGTTATAATAATTTCTTGATGGAAAAACTGATGCAAATATTTCCATTGGATGAGTTATTAGAATTTTTAGAAGCAAGTGAAGTCCAGAGACCTATGACGATACGAACGAATACATTGAAAACACGTCGTCGTGACTTAGCTGAAGTATTTATTAAATGAAATAGGTAACGAATATTTTTGGTATCTGTTAATTTATTATAACATTAATATTTTAGGCTTTGATCAATAGAGGAGTTAATTTAGATCCTATTGGCAAATGGACGAAAGTTGGATTAGTAATTTATTCTTCGCAAGTCCCTATGGGTGCCACACCAGAATATTTAGCAGGACATTATATTCTACAAGGTGCATCTAGTTTTCTACCTGTTATGGCTTTGGATCCCAAAGAAAATGAAAAAATTCTTGACATGTGTGCTGCACCTGGAGGAAAATCATCACACATAGCGGCACTTATAAAAAACACAGGTGTAATCTTTTCGAACGATGTAAATGAAGAAAGAATAAAAGCTGTTGTCGGCAATTTCCACAGACTTGGCATTGTGAATTCGATCATTTGTACTTATGATGGACGAAAGTTACCATCAGTAAGCATTAATGATGTATATGTGAATATATTGAATATATGGTATAATTAAATTTTTATTAAAATATGTACTTTTTAGGTGATTAAAAGTTTCGATAGAGTATTATTAGATGCACCATGCACTGGTACTGGTGTTGTTTCAAAAGATCCTAGTGTTAAAACAAATAAAGATGAAGTAGATATACAGCGTTGTTGTACATTGCAAAAAGAATTACTTTTGGCAGCTATAGATTGTGCCAATGCACGTTCAGAATCCGGCGGAATTATTGTTTACTCGACTTGTTCCGTTCTTCCAGAAGAAAATGAATGGGTCGTTGATCATGCCCTTAAGAAACGTGATGTTAAATTAATACCAACTGGATTAGAATTTGGCGCCGAAGGTTTCACGAGCTATAGACAGTACAGATTTCATCCTTCATTAAAATTAACTAAACGATTTTATCCACACGTACATAATATGGATGGATTTTTTGTAGCAAAATTTAAAAAATTCTCCAATATTGTTCATAAAAACAAAGAAGAAGAAACTTTAAATTGATAATAATTTTTGAGTTAAAATAGAATAAATTAATATTGTAATAGTTACACAATATTTGAAAAAATACTATCTAAGTAATTTAAATATTTTAAAAATATATAATTTGTATGTACAGATTTTATATTTTACATTAAATTTTATATAAATTACTTCTATTGTTATATTATTTTTCAGATTATACATTGCTTGTAGATGGATTAAAAAAATGAACAATTATTTAGTCATCATATAAAATAGTCGTTAAATATTTATATAAATTTACCACACTTTTTCATTAATGGAAAAATATACTTTTTAATTCCTTTTCACAAAGTTTTTTTACATCTTCTGAAATAAAAATTATTATTCTTACTTATGTCATTCTAAATTGAAGATCAGTAGATCATAATAAAATAGATACGTAATCACACATATGTATATATATATATATACCTTCTATTTCCATTATACTTGCACTTTTTTGTTGAATAACTACAAAAAATTCCCTTAAGTTCGATAACTTTCCAACGACCCAATAATCACTCATAGTTTTTATAATAATTTCCCCAGCTTCTTTTAGTCTAAAATTACAAAAAAAAAAAAAAAATATACTAATTGTAAGATAATAAATTAAAATGTTACTGTATTATGTACTAACTTATTTGTATCATTATATATATCAGTGATAACTCTCAATACTTCGGGTGTTGTAAGGACATTAGAGCATCTCCTGTTATCTGGATGTATTGTACTTTTATATGCTAAATTAAGTTTATTGAAATATAGATATTTGCACGATTCAGAAGAAACTGTTACATGTTTAGCACATTGTTCAGCAACTGAATTAACAAGTGTGGTTAATTGTGGACCAAGAAAGCTGTCCAGGCTTTTGAAGAAATCTATTAACAAACTTGTTTTACCTGCAAAATAAGCATTCTATATCTTTTAAAATGTTTACTTCATTATTTAAAAAAAAAAGAAGAAAAGAGAAGATACTTACTGTCAACAAATAGACATATTGTAGCACTCAATGCTCTATAAACAACTAAATACAATGACACTGGTTTCGTAGAATAATTAATAAATACTTTAGGAGATTTTCCGATTAAACTTGGTTCATTAATACTAGATGGACCAGTGACAAATCTATAAAATTTATAACTTATATTGTTATAATATAGAACATTAAATTATTTTGTAACTAGTTAGCATGTACTAACTTTCCATAGTGAGTGGTTGTAAATGGTGAAGGTGAATTTCTGGGCATTGAACCCTCGTGTAATTCTTTTTCAAGATGAGCTGGCAAAAGTGTACTTACTAGATAATTATAAACTACTTGCATATCCTCTGGCTCCAAGCCACTCCTAAATGGCAATGAGTATTAATTCTTTAATTTTTATATATTATAGTGGCATAGCAATATTTATATTACTAACCACACAACTTGATCATTGTAAAGAAATGCAGTGTATTTTACTTGAGAAAACATAGCTTCTACTAGATTCATAAAACACTGAACCCGTAAGAATGTTATTTTGTCAAGAGGTAAGAATTGTAAGCCTTGAAAAACGTCCAAAATATCACTGTTATTCAACTTTAAAGACATTAAATACTGTGAAAAATAAAAGATATTAGAAATTATATTGACAAATATACAAATTGTGCATTTTAAAGATTTTCCTTACCCTTGAATAAAAATGTTCAAGTTTATGTTTTAACAATGTTATAGATCCACATTCAGGTTCATTAATGATAGTATCAAATGATCCCATAAATAGTCTAAACATAACATATGCTTGTTTCAATAAAGCTTGACAAACACTGCTGGAAACTTCATCATACTGATATTCTGTATACTTATTACCATCTTTCTCCTTCCATATATATGGTACACCAACAATCTATATAACAATTTTTAAATATTTGTGGATCTTACATGATTATATAAATATTGTATATTGTGTCCTTATATGAATTGTTTATTTCAAAAGTGGCATAAGTGGTGAAATAAGTGGCATTCTGTTACTTATCTAAACTTTTATCAACAGTCTTAGCACTTTACATATTAACAGCAAATTGTTTTAAAATGAAAAGATCATGTAGAATTGTAATTAATTTAATCACTAACTTGATTTTTTTGAAAAAATGACTTAAGCCACTTTCAAAACAAACAATTTATAATATATTTTTTTTTAACAATGATGGAATCTTACCATTACCATCCAAAAATTTGGTTCTGGTTGATAATAAATTTGACGAGTTTTATGTGTGTGACAGTAATCGCATGGTTGCCCAGGATTAAATGACCTAAAAAAGAAAATTTCAAATGCAAAAACATAGCATTGATACTAAACGTTAAGATAGAAACTTTGGAATTTTCAAAATATATATATACGTACTGTGCAAATTTAATAATTGCTTCACTGAGCCCTATATTTTTAATCTGGATATCTAAATCTTTTTCTGGATAATAATAAAGAATTTTTTTTTCTTCCTGCATAGAAACATACAAACACATGTAATTGTACATAAAGTGTACAATATATGTACATAGAGAGTAAAAATTTTGTAATTTTTTTATGTATAAATACTTTTTTGTTGATAAATTTTATTTACTTGCCTCCCCCTCTTTCTTTGCATACGTGCCATTGAATATATAAAAATGTTCTAATGTAACCTCCGTTTTTGATGTCATTTTGACAAATAATTTAAACAAATATTCCGCCCCTTTGTTTTTATTTAAAACATAAATATATTACTATGATAATTTATTAATTTAAATATTTATTCAAATTCTCCTATTTGAAACATTTCAACCAACAAATAAAAAACATTCGTAACCTATGAACATCTAATATTTAATATGTTATTTTGAAAACTTAATAGATGTTGAGATGGCAGCACGTTTTATTGTCATGTGATATATATAATACCATAACGTATGTACATACTTCTCAACCTCAAATATATATACATGTATATATATATATATATAAATTTTATACTAAAATTGATTACATACTATTATATTTAGTTACATTTATTATTGTTTACATTTTTCTTGCAAATGGAAATTTATATAAACATTCATATTTATGAAATAAAGATATAGCCGCTTAGATATTTAGTAGAATAATATTTGGTAATATCATTGACTAAGAATTCTTAGTCAATGGTAATATACTAAGAAAGGTATTTCTTTCTATTATTTTCAGACATACAAAATGCTATCATCGAGAATTTTATATACTGATAAACTTCTCTAAAAATAAAATTATACTGATCATAAATATTATATGACATATTATGACATTATATAATATGACCACAAATATTATATGATATAATTATATTTTAAAAATTTAATAGATAATGCAAATGAATATTTAATAGAAATGAAAATTAAACTATGTGTACAACATATGTACATATGAACTTAATAAAATGTGAACTTTAATTCTTACTTGATATTATGAGTGTTATGCAAAACCGGCGATAGTATATATTTTGCATAAAATAATTTATGTGGACATAAAGACATACATAGTTTTTATACCTGCTAGAATATATGAAGCAATGAAATGAAACGTTGCTTCATATTTTTTGTTCGAGATATATTTCTTTTTACTAAATAATTAAATATTAAATAACTTATTAATATATATCTTTTTATTGAAATATATATCAGTGACTAACTATCTTTAGATGTTTAAAAAATATCACGTGACTAACAAATTGTAAATTCAAATCGTAAGAATCGGTAGTGTAAAAATCTTTTCGTATTTATGAAAATTTCCTTTCGATAATTATAAAAACGTGTGATAAATACGAGCGTATTTATTTTTCAAATTCACTTTACGTGTAGATGACAATTTATTTAAAATTGAAGAGGACATAATAGCAACGTTTTCACGAATACGAAAAAGCCACGAATACACTATCGATAACTATGTGAAATCGAGATTCACATTATTCGATTGTAACAAGTTTCACGTATTACGTGTACGAAGCTGAACATAACAAATTTGTCGTGATGTGGGTAATGATTAAATTTAGATAACGCACAGTAATGAGCAACATGTGATGATAAAATATAAAGGCGACGTGTCTGGAAAAGAAATTGGTCTTTAGGTGTACAGAAGATCGTAACGATACACCAATGGCCTATCAGTCTTTCCGGCAGGAGTACATGCAAATACCTGTAGTGACACGAGCTTATACAACAGCTTGTGTCATCACGACTCTTGCTGTGGTTTGTAAAATGTTTCTCTCACAATACAGTTTTATAGCTACAAAATAATATTTTCAAAACAGTAATTGTCAAATTACTTTTGTTTCTCCGCTTTTAGCAATTAGATTTGGTATCTCCATTTCGGTTGTATTTTAATCCTACATTGATCATTGAACAGTATCAGGTAAACAAATATATATTAGCTATTGTGCTCTAGACTTTTCAACTGGCTTCGTGTATTTCATAGTTGTCAGATCATTTGTAATATAAATGTTATTTCAGCTATGGAGATTAATAACCACGTTTTTATTTTTTGGAAATATGGGTTTCAATTTCCTTTTCAACATGATCTTTACCTATCGATACTGTCGAATGCTAGAGGAAGGATCATTTCGCAGAAGGACAGCTGACTTTGTAATGATGTTCATTTTTGGAGGCATATGTATGATTGTATCCTTTCAATGTTTTATTTATTTTTCTGAGATTGATGATAAAGTACATGCACCATTATGTATTTTATTATATGTATTTATCCTAAGATTACTATAGACATTTGCATTTTTTGTTAATTTGTTATTTCTGGGCCATGCATTCACGATTATGTTGGTATATGTTTGGTCACGGAGAAATCCATTCGTTAGATTAAACTTTTTTGGACTTTTAAATTTCCAAGTAAGTTTTCTACCTTTTCTCTTGTATCGAGTATAGGGAGATTAAGAATAGATCATTTTTAAATGTGTATGCGTGCGTGTGTGTGTGTGTTTCTTTATCACCAGGCACCATATTTGCCTTGGGTTCTGCTTGGATTTTCTGTACTTCTTGGTAACACAATTTGGGTGGATCTAGTTGGAATGGCTGTGGGACACATGTATTACTTTGCGGAAGATGTATTTCCACGTTTGCGGGGAGGTTTTCGTGTTCTTAAAACTCCACAAATACTGTAAGTTACTTGGATAAGAAGTCTTCAACAGGTTATATATTGCTAGTTATATATTGCAATAGTGCTATTATCATTTCTTGTTTATTTGCAGTAAGACTTTGTTTGACGCACATCCAGAAGATCCAGATTATACTCCACCGCCTGAAGATCGTCCTGGTGGATTTAATTGGGGTCAAGAAGCCAATATACAATGATTTTAAATTCAAGGTCCTGCTTCCAAATCATCTCTTACTGATTGGCATATCAAGTAAACTTTTACATTGCTATATATAAAACATTGTTCCTTGATTTTTCCAATTACTAAAAAACAGTACTAAATATTTGCAGCCTTGATGTTATGTAAAATGTAATGAAAAACTTATGACAAAGATAAGACTTCCAATTTTCTAGCAGGGGTTACAATTTTTTCATTGAACGCAAATAATATACATAAATGAAAACAGTATTTCTCAGATAATCAACTATTGTGATATATTTATAGTGCTTACGATATTCCGAGAATACAAAGAAGCTTCATACTGATAACATATTTGTTAAAAACGAAATATTTTAAAATGTATTTATTTATTTATTAATATAGTATAATTTGCAAAATTTCTATATAGTACAAAATTTAAAATATCTTCACAAAAATAATGTGAATTGAATTCTAAATTCTTTTCTGAACTACATTTTTGTAAATGTTTAATTCATCATGAGATTCGTCTAAATACTGTTTTCGTAATAATTATATAATGCACAGTATGAATTTTTACTACAATCTTGTGCCTGATAAGATATACAATTTTAACTAAAAATAGGAAATTACAACTTTTACATTTTTGTTAAACAAGAAAAGACTCGTATAATAGAGTATAAAATACTATTTTTACTGTTTGCAAAAATACAAAATTGAAACCCCTGATTCCAAAACATTGTACTGTAAAAATCTTACATAATTGAATGTTGTAAATAATTTTATTTATTTTCCTATTATAAATAATCCCCTGGTATTTTTTAATTATGTAATAATACATTTGATACCATGTCTGAGAATATGTAACATTGTAAATAATAGAATACATCACAGTTTCTTTTCTTATGGGCATTTGATAAAAATGGTATAAGATATACCATTTAATTTCAAAATCAGAAAAGATTTAATGAAACATGTAATGGCATTCCTTTTCTTGTGATGTTTATAATATGTGAGTATGAATGAAAAAAGATATTAATAAATTAACAAAGACAACATAGTTCTTAGATAAATTTAATTGTTTTTTTTCTTAGTAAACTAATAATTCATTGATTGTTTGGTTTAGAATATCATATTGCACGTTATACTGTGATGTGTTCATATTTCCTATCAGATGATTGCATTCTAGTATATAATAGAACAATTCATTTGTCAAACTTACTATAACAAAGCATACATCGGCAGAAAGCCAAAGTATTACAAAGAATTTCCACTTGAACAATTATGTATGACTTATTAGATGGTAGTTAAAACTGTGAGAGACTTACGTAACTTGCGTCTTTTTGAAAAATAAACGCGTTTGATAGCGCAATTGAAAATACATTTGTCTAAGTTTTTGCAAGTTCTAGTTGTGTGACCAAAAAGAACGCAGTTGGTATAAGACTTTAACAATTTTAACTGCAAGAATCTAGGCAATGAGCCTCTGGGATTTAACTAGATAGTAGCCTTTTTGTAAATACTAGGTAAAAATGTTATTTATATAACCATTATAATAAAATAAAATGGTTCGATTTAGTTTGAAATTCTTATTGCATAAATTATACATTATTATTCGATATATAGTAGTGATGTAAGAAATTCATTTAAGTCGCATTTAATTTTTGATTAAACTTTGAATACAATTACATATTCATTTGTGAAAGTTGCTATAATTTCTTTAATATTTAATCCAACAAGATAACTAGCTTTTATTTGTAATATATTACAGTGTTGCATTATTATGTTATTGTGCCATATGGTATGTACTGTTGTTGTCAGTAAAAATTAATAAAATTTTTGTAATTTCTCGTTTGTATATATTTAAACAAATTTGTATATTTACATACAAGTTTTTGTTAGTCAAAAAATAATTCTTGAGAAGTAACATTTTTTACGGTGGTTATAAAGATTAATTAAGATGAAAAATGATTTACAAAACCATTTATTTAGATTTAAATAATAAATGATTATCATAATGGGATATAATGATGTATAACTAGGTACATATACGCAATGACATGGACTATAATACAATGATCAAGACTCTATTGTACATACTTTATTATATTGCCACCGTTGCTAAAAGCACTGTAATGTCGTCTGGTTTACCACCTAAAAAATACAAGAAACATGTTGTGGATATACATGTTAAGTTAGTCTTGATTTTCTTATGGTAAATCGAAAATCTTATCCTAATTGAAAAAATTACTAATAAGATTTCTTTCCAACAATTGGTGTGTTTACTTTGAAAGATAACTGCTCATTTGTTAAAAAACAGAGAAAGAAAAAACATAAAAAAATAAAAAAGGAAAGAAAGAAAGAAAAAGAAGAACGGAAAACAACATATTTGTACAAGTTTTTCATTCTATATATAAGAATTAGAAAATAGAAGAATACAGAAGGGAAACTGTTTTACTACAAAGTTACTACCAAAGTAAACAAGATAGGTACATAAGATACATAAGAAATTGTGAAATGTATGGTACGAATAAATTGAATATATTTTTTATTAAAAACTATGTTTTCTATTGGACTACGCTTTCGAAGCTGATTTTGAAGTGTTAATTTTATATGGTAGTTCTAATATTGATGGGGTTTATATACCTATAGTATCAATTCCATTTTCTCTAGCACTTTGGGCAAATGGAGACATGAATGCGCCATCGAAAGCTAAACTACGAGCCATCCAGGCTATTGAGTTGGCAACTCCTTGAATCTTAGTAGGATCTCTTTCCCCTTGAACTTTACGCATTTCAGTAATAAGTAATTGGTCAGGCACATTATCAAATACTCCGTCTGTTGCTAAAAGAATTACATCACCATCCTCAACTCCAAAACTCGAAGTATCTGCAGATTCTGGACTAGAATTAAAATGTACAATATCTTGAATGGAATGGTACATTAAATAGAATGTATTGTGTCCATTTATATAGATTGATAATATGTATTTATATTTATATAGTATAATACCTGTCGCTGAGTACAAGACCAGAATGTCCTGGAGGTGGGAGAGATAACTGAAATGGAGTATTAAAGTAGTGTTGTTGTTCGGAAGAACGGTGAACTACTTCTCCTTTTCTTACAACTACAAAACCACTATCACCAATATTAGCTGCATAAATGCTGCTCGTTTCTTTATTGAGAACTATAACACACGCCGTACTGCTACCTGAAACAACCACATAACTACTACTATTACCAGAACATAGTTTTCTATTTTCTCTTAGAGAAATATGCTTTATAACTGAAATATAAGAAAAGGTGCAAGTCGCAAATTGCTTCTAATACCTAATATGGGTTGTTTACTTTCTAGTAATTCATAGTAACTACGTGCTAGTAATCCAGCTGGTTCAGAAGGTGTGAACCTGCCCATAGAAACCAGTCTTTCACAAGTTCTCATAAGAAAACTAGAAAACTCTCCCGGATCGATTCCATAATGCCTCCATCCACCTACACCATCTGCTACACCTAAAAAGAGCCGTGAAATTGTTAAAGTATGAAACGAGATTATTCGCAGCGTTGCAAACATAGTCGTAAACAGATTAATTGTTTTGGCAACATGATCTTTCTGACAGATATTTCGACTGTAACAGATATCGACTAGATATAATTTACGATAACCGAAATCTATGAAATGCGGAAAAGATCCATGATTGCCGCACGTTGCCAATCACGTGCGAATACAAAATTACAAGATCGTTTCACGATGATTGTGGCGGGTTAACATTACCTATTACTTCGACAGTTTTGAATTTGGCACTGAACCATGCGTCATCACCGAATTGTCCTTTACGTATACGTCCTCGCGCGAAATCTTTTGGAAAACCACACACAGCCGAAATAAACGATGCCTCGCGACGTTTGTTCACGTTAGGATCGGCGCATGCTGTATAATTTGATATGCCATTCCATATCGCCCGAGACAGCAGCCTCCCGGTCCAATAAATGGACTGCATCGTACGGTGAGGCTCAAACTTTTGTGACGCACATCTTTATTAACTGAACGACGAATCTGCATGAATCGTGCAGTCAATTCACAAGCGTGTGTTCGGAGGCATGTTTCGTTGTTTTTGTCGCTGGTGCATTTAACATTGATTAGATTTGTTAGCCGTCCTCCGAATCGCACTTGACATCGACAGCGCCGTTCTCGAATTCCAATCCACGCTCGAGGAAACAAAGATCGGTGACCGTGATTCCAACTGAAATTATCTCCTGCTACGATGTAACCCGAGAAAGCATATACCAACCAGCGCTACTGACTGATGTGAACATGGCCTACAATGCATCTACATGCCTTGCACTCGACTTCAGATCGATTTTTAGGGGAGATTCTTAAAGTCGCTGTTAAGCTTCATTTTTATTAATTGAAATTCGTCGATACGAATTGAAGTGTCGAGTAAGACCATTCACCAACGAGATTAGCGATTTCATATTTAGTGAAATATAAAAAAAAGTAAGTTCCTTTAATTTTTAAGTAAGTTTCTAAAGTAGCTATACTAGTTTTAATAGTAAACGAGAATATAATATATTTAAAATAAGGTAAGAACGTTAAATAAAGATGAAAGATGTGTACTAACAGTACCATGCGATTGAATGTTTACAAGAGATACGAACGATACGATCATTTAGAATTAGAACAATTTATATCTTTGTGGGATTTTATAAGCGATGCTTAGAAAAATCGACATAGAAAATGTGTTAGCCATCCAGAGTTGAATTTACGGTATTGATATATATATAATATAAATTTTCTTTATTCTCAATTAATATAAATCTTTACAATATAAATCATTCTTCATAAAAAGCATATATTTAATTTTTTATAAAAGGATATATTTGATAAAAAGCAGCTTTAAATAATTGAAATAATTTATTTTGTATTGAAATAATTTGTATTGAAATAATTTATTATAGTATTTTGTATACTATAATTGTATAGAACAAATAATAGTGTACAAATTTTGGTAGTTACCAGTAATTAGAACATTCAGAAATATTGCAACTTATATATATGTTAATTTAATGAATTAATTAATATATAATAATTATAATAATTATAATTAATTATAATAATTATAATTATTATATTTTCACACGTATATAATATAATCAATGTAAAAGTTGCAACAAAAGTTATCTGTTTTTTGCTTTCGTACTAAGTTAAAAAATTACATATTACAGACTAAAAAGATGCATTTAATTGCGCGCGAAATTTGAATTTGATTATGAATTCGATGAGTAACCAACACCATCTACAGTCATCTCTCATCGACTAAGAATGAATATATCTCACTTTCTGAATTACCGACTCGAAAAATAATCAAAGCATTATTTCCTCTGTGATTTAGTATGGCGGACATAACAATTATATTTAGCTTAATATCAAATTTAATTTTTTGTTCAGAGTTAGACAATATATCTCGTATGAAAGTGTTATGAAATTCGAAATACGAAATATGAAAACCTAGGTACGAAATTCGCGCGCAATAATCTTATTTTACAATTAAGTAAAGTTTTTAACTCCTATATTTTTAATTTTTATGTCAAAGTTGCAATTTCTATGATAATTACTCTATTAGAATTTCAATTTTTTTAATTATTAGAATAATTTACAAGTATTTTTCTGAATAAATTACAATAATTTATATTTTGTTGAAGTTTCTCTTCTTCTTGTTCCTTTGGTGATACTTCAAAGCTAAAAATGTAAATAACTTTGTATTTTATATACATCTTTCCTTGTATTCTACAGTAATTATTTGGAAAATATTTGATAAATTGAATTAAAAACTTTTGATAAATTGAATTAAAAACTAATTGAAAACTTTTCATTTTTGAATTAAATATTATTATTATAATTATTATGTTCAATACTATTTAGAATTTTTCAAATAATTAATACAATTTTTAAGAAAGTTAAAATATTCCATACCTTTTTCCAGATCCCATTTGATGACGAGTTTCACCGTGACTTCCCTGAGAGCACAATAATATCGATGACAATATTCTTCGTTTCTACATAATCGTATGTATTTTTATTCTTCTCGTTATATACAGTCATGCCGGATGAAAGATTCAAATCGTTATGACTAATTTGAACTAGAACTTCTGACGAATATAGTGATTGCAAGTATTTATTATACTAAAAAATAATAACATTTCCTTGCCTGTGTTTTATTTATTAGCATTTTAGGATAGGTTTTCTTGCATATTGTATCTTTGGATGATATAATAGTAATGCAATAATAATAATGATAACAATGTCTAACAGTGAAAAATTTATCTAATGGTATAAATAATTATTTCTGATAGATTTTTATCCGTTGATTAACGAATCTGAAATCCATTTTTCTCCATCACTCTCAATTTTTGAGAAATTTAATTTTGAAAAAAAAAGGTAAATTTTCAAGTTTCGAATCTGTTTTGTATTTCAATTATATTTTTACATTCTGCGTGATACCGCACGATTAAGTATAAAATGACAAAACAATAAAATAGCAATGAAGTAGAAACAAATGGGTAATGTCTTACGCAAAAGGGATCGGGTATACACGAATAACGAACAACAATACGTTTCTTCGAGTAAATCGCTTTACTAATGTTTATTAATAAACATTTCATATAGATTATTTTAATTCATATAATTTAATACCTGTTTGCCGTTGTTTTTTTTCTTTTTTTTTTTTCTTTTCTTGTTGTTGTTGTTTGATGTTGCTTGATCAATAGTTTATCGTTATTTACACTATTCAGTATAAAATGCGAGTTCAAGATTAAATTCACACCACTATGTTTTATGGACACTATCTGTCATCGATTAATAATTATCAATGCTTGTACTCAGGAAAATGCGAAGGGGGCAGTAGGGCAGTATTTTCGTTATCACTAGTGTTGTTGGTATTTAATTCTTTAGGGGAACCATTATTTATGTTACAATCTAGACTAAAATTATCGTCTAGTGGGCATTTGTTAATATTAGGCAAGTGATTAACATCGATTCCACGAACGTCGGGGAGCATTTGTTGTTGGTGGGATTGAGCATTTTCAGCCTCGTTGTTATCGAGACCGTTATCAGTGTGGGGTGGGGATGGATAATAGCCGCGCTGCTGTATTGGCAGTTGTTCCACCGGCAGTTGGTGTTGTTGTTGTTGTTGTTGTTCTTGCTGCTGCTGCTGCTGATGTTGTTGACGTTGATGTTGCTGCGACGACGGCTGCGGCGGCGGCGGCTGCTGCTGCTGCTGCTGCTGCTGCTGCTGCTGAGACTGCGCATGATGGTGGCAGCGATGCGGTTGCTGCGGTTGTTGTCGATGCTCTCGCTGTGAATGATGCAGTTGATGCAGCAACTGTACCGCGCTACCAGTCATTGCAGGTGGCGGCGGTGGCGGCGGCGGCGGCGGCGGCTGCTGTGGTGGCCGGTGTTGCACTCCGTCCTCACTAGTCCGTCGGGCTAGTTGTTGAGCTTGAATAAATGCATCACTAGAAAATAACAAGATTACACGAGCCCATTGGATCTATTCCACGACCACTAATGCTGCATACAACACACGCTGCGGACACGCGATTTCTTACTCCTCGACAAGCTCCTAACAACCTTCTTCCCTGTTTTCTTTCCCCTTCCTGTCAGACTTACCTTCGTTTACACACTTTTCCTTTCTATATTACATGTACTATTGTAAATTCGCGCCGATGCACGCGTCACCCATTTTCTTCACTTCAACGAGTAATTATCGTACAGTGGAGCGTTTGTTTTCTATGTTCCACGAGAACGGATATCTTTCTCCAGTTTAACAATCTTCGCGCTCGAGGACGATTTTAAGAAATCTATACAGTGTTTTAGAATTACGTTGCATGTCAGTGACAGATATTTAAAGTAATTCTGTACTTTTTTTCTCTTTATTTTCTTCTATCTTTTTGATATTCGAGAACAAGTTTTTTTCCTCAAGAAATCATACATATAATCAATGTATATTCATATACATACATATATTAGATGATGTCCTATAAGTTGAAGTAGAGTCTCAGAAATAAATATTAAAACATCATAAAAATATTTTTATTGATATATATATATATATCAATGTTTTATAGTAGTACAGTAGAACTGTTACTTTCTGAATAGAATATCTGCTACTAACTGGATGATTTTCTAATTACTAGCACGTATTCTGTTCTGATGATATAATATTCAAATATTAAGATACTCGAAAAATAAAAGGAGTTTGCGCTACTATTATAACATTAACGCTTATGCGTATTCTTTAAATCAACTGACATATTTTTAGCCAGCTTATATCGGCACAGATACTCCACTGTGCGTCATTTTCTGGAAGGATAACGCGTGCATATACGTGCGTCCGTGTGTTTAACAGCAGAAAGCTTTCTAGTCATTGCGCACGTGCGAAGCCATGACTGCAAATTGCGGCTACGAAGAGTTGCACGTTGAAAGTACACGTAGATACAATGTGTAAAGATCACATGTGTATAAATGTTACAACTTTGTTTCCTTTTTTTTTTTTTTCTTTTTTTCTAAATAACTTTATCGTACAATTAAAGCACAAAGGTGACGGTCGATCCATAAAAAAGAAAAAGGAAATTTTCAGATAAGGATAAGTGCAGATAAGGAGCCGTTCCAGCGCGTCTTAAATCGCAGTTAATCAGGTGTCGAAAGATACGTGAAAAAGAGAGAGAGAGAGAGAGAGAGAGAGTCGCTTTCAGTATTTCGCGTGACTCGCAAGTTTCCACTATCGCCAGTTTGCCACGTACTTTATTACTAGAATGCTTGCAGCAACTTGCGTTTCTGGCGAGAAATATGATAAAGAGAAACAATACACGTCCTGTACGTAATTTGCAGCACATTCACAGCGCATTGCACAAGCAACTAAAAGAGTAAATTAGCATGCGAAGGTTGATGTGTTGAATTTTGTCGAATCGAGTCGTATCTTCTTTCCCCTTGGTCTCGTGG